TATATCACCCTATACCAAGATTAACTCAAAATGGGTCAAGGATCTTAATATCAGACCCAAACTCTAAAGTTGATACAAGAAAGAACAGGAAATACTCTGGAGTTAGTAGTTATAGGTAAGAACTTTCTCAATGAAACCCCAGCAGCACAGCAACTAAGAGATAGCATAGATAAATGGGACCTCATAAAACTAAAAAGCTTCTGTCATCAAAATGGTCTCTAAACTGAAGAGAAACCCCAGAGTGGGAGAAAATATTTGCCAGCTATACATCAGACAAAGGACTGATAACCAGAATATATAGGGAACTTAAAAAACTAAATTCTTCCAAAACTAATGAACCAGTAAAGAAATGGGCAAATGAACTAAACAGAACTTTCTCAAAAGAAGAAATTCAAATGGCAAAAAAAACATGAAAAAATGCTCACCATCTCTAGCAATAAAGGAAATGCGAATTAAAACCACACTAGGATTCCACCTCACCCCTGTTAGAATAGCCATCATCAGCAACACCACCAACAACAGGTGTTGGCGAGGATGTGGGGAAAAAGGAACCCTCATACACTTTGGTGGGAATGTAAACTAGTACAACCACTCTGAAAAAAAAATTTGGAGGCTACTTAAAAAGCTAGACATCGATTTACCATTTGATCCAGCAATACCACTCTTGGGGATATACCCAAAAGACTGTGACACAGGTTACTCCAGAGGCACCTGCACACCATGTTTATTGGGCACTATTCACAATAGCCAAGTTATGGAAACAGCCAAGATGCCCCACCACTGACGTATGGATTAAGAAAATTGTGTATCTATACAATGGAATTTTATGCAGCCATGAAGAAGAACGAAATGTTATCATTCGCTGGTAAATGGATGGAATTGGAGAACATCATTCTGAGTGAGGTTAGCCTGCCCAAAAGACCAAAATCGTATGTTCTCCCTCATATGTGGACATTAGATCAAGGGCAAACACAACAAGGGATGGACTATGAGCACATGATAAAAGCGAGAGCACACAAGGGAGGGGTGAGGATAGGTAAGACACCTAAAAAATTAGCTAGCATTTGTTGCCCTTAATGCAGAGAAACTAAAGCAGATACCTTAAAAGCAACTGAGGCTAATAGGAAAAGGGGAACAGGAACTAGAGAAAAGGTTAGATCAAAAAGAAATAACCTAGAAGGTAACACCCATGCACAGGAAATCAATGTGAGTTAATGCCCTGTATAGCTATCCTTATCTCAACCAGCAAAAACCATTGTTCCTTCCTATTACTGCTTATACTCTCTCTACAACAAAATTAGAAATAAGGGCAAAATAGTTTCTGCTGGGTATTGAGGGCGTAGGGGGGAGAGGGAGGGGGCGGAGTGGGTGGTAGGGGAGGGGGTGGGGGCAGGGGGGTGAAATGACCCAAGCCTTGTATGCACATATGAATAATAAAAGAAAAAAAAAGAAGGAATGGATAGAAAAAAAATAAAAATAATAAAAGGTGTAAGGTATCCCTTATGATTAATTTACACAAGTAAAATATCTCAGAAGCCATCTCTCTCTGATATGCAATCTTTAACAGTCTTTGGATATTTTAAAACTCATTTAAGATCTACGTTGTTATACAATAACTATTTATTTATGTTGATTGATAAATTATACATACACACTGTGTACAATGTAAATCTATAAGTATTTTGCATTGTTGTATAATGTTTAAATCTGAAAATTAACATTTGCCTTATCCCACTACCTATCCCTTTTGCAGTGAAAATACTTCACATTAGCTTAAAATTTCTCAGGAACTTAATTTGTCATCAATAACCATAGATGTTTACAATGGTGTAGAGGAAAGTAAAGGAAACATTTTCACAATGTGGACAGGAATATTTATGGTTACTATAATTACCATAGTTACAAAACATCTCTTGAAAATATTCTATCTGTCTAAATGGGACCTTGTGCCCTTTGAGGAGCACAACCTCTACATCTTTCCCACAAGTAATCCACTATTAGGTAACGACCATGTTGGCCTCTATTTCTTGTTGAAAGACACTTAAGTCCATATCTTGGCTGTTGTGAATATATCTTTAGACATTGGACAACAGGTTTCTTCTCGACATACCAAATTGTCCTCCTTAAGTACCTAACTAGTGTTGGTATTGAAGGATATGATATATATATATATATTTTTTAAAGCAACTTTATATTGTTTTCTATTCAGTTTATACTAATTCCTACCAATGCTACACAGCAAGCAAAAATATGAAGTTTTCTCACTAGGCAGGCCACCCCGTGCAGAAAGCAAGACTCCATCTTGAAAAAAAAAGTAAAGCACAAAGTGCTGTGAATCTTGCTTAAATGAAAGAATACCAGCCTAAAAACTCAAGGTCTTGAGTTCAAACCCCCGTAACACCATCAAGAAAAAAAGGGGAAAATGTGGTAGTGAAGTTTGAATTCATGACCTTGAGTTTGCTAGTTTGGTGCCCTAAAACCTAGTCACACCTCTTGGCCATTTTTGCTTAATTTTTTTTGAGGTAGTATCTCTCATTTTTGTTTATGGCTTGTCTGGACTGCAGTCTTACTTCCTATGTCCTCCTGCATAGCTGGAATCACAGGTATGTTTCATCATGTCCAATGTACTGAAATTAAGTCTCACAAAATTTTAATAAGGTTGGCCGGAAAGCATGATCTTCCCAATCTCAGACTCCCAAGTAACTACTATTACAGATGTGACTGCCTCACCTGATACATCAGAAAGTTTTAGGAGGAAGTATAGAGTTTTAAATAATAAGTATTTCTTAAATTTTATCCAGTTTTGAGTGTAAAATCCTGAATATGTCTCCTTTTGGTTTTGAGTAGGATGGTTATAATATTTGAGAACAATGTTCACAGTTTCATTGATATCCTGAAGTAGGGCCAAGAGAGAGATTGACATATACACATCATGAAATCTTTCCTGTGATCTATAACTGCCCTTCCTACAGTTGATACAGAGGTAAAAACCAATGTTGTCCTAGTGATCTATCAGGAAGCCTAACAACAAAAATCCAGGGTGATCTAGGAGTCTCTTTCTGGAGAGATATGGAAGTGAAACCATTCTTAGATTCTCAAGATGGAAGCCTTCCAATATTCCATTAGCAAAATGCCATGTCTATAATCACAAAGACCAAGCAAACATGATTTCTTATTTTCTATTAAATGGCTTAGTATTGGATAAATAAAATAGGCTTTCTTCCTTTTCTAATAACAGTATTAGAGCTTATAATAGAAAAGATTATGTTGATGAACTTAGACAAGTTATCTACAACACATATCAATAATGCTGGTATTTAAAAACCCAAAATATGTTCATTATTCTCACCCTCATACTTATCTTCCACATCATCTTCAAAGTGTTTCTGAAGTGCAGAGCACCTTCTACTTTATAAAGACTCACATACTGCTATCAAGGGTGAGATGTCGAAGGGAAGAAGAGTGAGTGTGGGATAAAACAACACTTTGAATGAGATTCTTGGGAACCCAGAACAACCAAATATATAATATTCACAGAACTCATACCTCTAATTGCATATTAGAATCTTCTCTACTTACTAAAAAACTTTAGTGTTTGTACTTGGAAAGGAAACCAATGGTTCTGATAGTTCTTTCCTTATCCATCATCTGCCTTAGAATTTAAGGGCTTACACTTTTACTGTTGGGTTAAGATCATGAAAGTAACAAAATTGCCCCCATGACGAGTATCAAATGAAAGGTAGGGATTCAGATTAGTAATAGATTTAAATACTAGATAAGATAAATGAATCCTGATACAAAAAAATGTATGTTAGGAAGAGATACAGGGATCAGGTCTAAGACACTAGAAAACCATCCATCAAAATCACTTGCTGAGCAGCCTGAATATTTATTTATATGACCTCAGAGCTCAGTACAAGCAGCATATAAATAGTAAGATTAGTCCAACTTATCTCAATTTCATTTGACTTCATATTAGAGGAAGAAGAAAAAAGGAAAACAAATGTCTAAAATATGTTGTTTTTCCATTACTCAGAAGAAGCTCATGTCTACTATTCACTTTTTTGTTGTTTTCTTCTTATGATCATTCTAATTTTTAAACAATAATTTGCTGTTGTGAAATATGCATAACAAAATAGTTACCATTTTAACCATAATAAATTAAACAGATCAATGGCATTAATTCTATTTATGTTGTTGTGTAGCCATCACCATCTTCTATCTCCAGCTATCTTTCAACTTCTCAAACTATATCTTTCTATTTGTAAAGAAATTTCTACTTTTCCCTCCCCAAGACCTGTCAATGAAATTATAAAACATTATGAGAAACTGAAGACACCTAACTACATGCTAATTGACTAAGGATACAGAATTTCTTAATGTATAGATGTTTATTTTTGTTGACATTTCCAACTGACATTCTATATGGAAGACCCAGAACAGGTTCTATTGTAGAGGATCCTCAGGGCACTTCTTATATCCCTGTTCCTCAAGCTGTAGATGAAGGGATTCAGCATAGGGGTGACTACCGTGTAAATCACAAATGCTACTGCACTTTCTCTGGGGAAAGATGACACATCTGAAAAAAGGTACGTTCCAAGACTGGTTCCATAAAATAAGCAAACAAGTAACAGGTGAGACCCACAGGTGGAGAAGGCTTTATACTTTCCTCTTGTATTTGGCATTTTGAGAATTGAAGAAATGATTTCATAGTAAGACCAAATGATCCCTGAGATAGGAAGAAACCCAAATATGGTGCCTGTGAAATACATGATTATGTTATTAGCAAACATATCAGGACAGGCTAGATTAATGAGTTGAGATAGATCACAGAAGAAGTTTGAAATCTCAACATCCTTGAAGTAGGAAGGATTTAAGATAAATAAATTATGCAGTTGGGAGTCCAGAAGACTAAATAAGAAACATAATAGTACTAAAAAGGCACAGTGTTGAGTGTTCATGATGACCATGTAATTCAAAAGGTAACAGATAGCCACATAATGGTCATAGGCCATCACAGTCATAAGATCATCCATGCATCCAAAAATGGCAAAAAAGGACATTTGTGTCACACAGCTTTCATAGGAGATGACTCTCTTGTGAGTTTGAATGTTTACAATCATATTTGGGACAGTGGTAGAAATGAAACAGATATCAGCGAAGGACAGATTAGAGAGAAAGAGGTACAGGGTGTGGAGGTGGGAGACACAGCTGACAGTCAGGATTATGAGCAGATTCCCAAGCACTGTTATGAGGTACATGGACAGGAACAGTCCAAAAAGGATAGTCTGTAGATCTGTATCTTCTGAGAGTATCTTGAGATGGAATTTTGATACTAGTGTTAGATTTTGGAGTTCTACATTGTCTGGACACCATTTGAAATGAAAAAAGTCAGAAAATCAATTAAGCAGGAATCCACACTGTATGTGTTTTTTAACTCCCATAATTCCATGTATATTCCATTCACATTAATGTCCATATACCTTCAGATATATTTCTCATTCATGATGAACTCAAAATTATTAGACCCATTTCCTTCTGATGTCTGTGTTTTACTCCTCCTCCTATGAACACCTGCTTTAGGGATATTCAGCCAAGATATATTGCCAAACCAAGACAGAGGTATCAAGTCCGGGAACATTAGGAAGTACATCATATTCATTTAAAATAACATAAAGAATAATGTATATATTACCATATTTAAGAAAATTTTCATTGCATGTAAAGGCATATTCAAATACTCCTTATTTCAATTCTTTCTTGGGCAAAATGAAAGCACAAAAACTACAGGAACAAAACCAAAGCAATCTATCAATTTCCACATCAGTGAAATTAGTATCACAATTGTCTACCTTATAGGCTGTGACAAGAAAGGATTTTAAGAAGATTTTTGAATTTCATAAGAATGCTGATACTGTCTCATATATCAATGTATTTAAATCTGTTTATTTTAGAATGTGCAGATAAGTAGCACCAGACAAGACAAGTTAAATAAAAGAAACTATATATCATGTTCTCTTTCATCAATTTGTAAATAATAGTTGAGAAAAACTGCCTTAGAATATTTGCTGGCATTACAAAACAGACCATTAGTATTAATTAATTATTACTTGTACTGATATCCATAAGTGATATAAGAATATAACCACTTAATGATATTTGCTCTATAATTACTATGTAGCTATTATGAAGTGAGTTTTCACCTATGAAATTTGTGTTCTCTCTATCCCCACACGAGTCCATTCTCCTGCCCACCTATCTTCCAAAGACAAATACTGTTATGAATTTGCTGGTAAAATTTTCTCTTATATAATTTTTTCAAAGCTTATCTTATAGTATTTTAGGTCATTTAAGTAGTGAACCACATAACACCTATTGTCACTGAGAAGAACTGGTTTGCATTTATATCATGGTAATTGACTGAGACGTATGTATATCAACTCCAAATATTTTAACTGATTATCAGCATTACCTGAGGAATTAATGCTACCTAATGTGTCAATTCATTATTATGACATTACTTTTCAATTCTTATGTCTCCCCTCCACATACCTAAGTTACAATTCCATTTTACCCATGTGGCAGTTGCTTGAATTACCATATGTGATACATGGTAACTTACTATTCATCACCTAAGTTTCTTGACCCAATATAAATCAGTTATTTCCTATATATTGTCTTTAAATTACACTACAATAATTATATTTAAAATCTGTCTAGTAATAATTCCTCCAGTGTAACTCAAAATGGAATTAATTTTGCATAAAGAGTACTTTTCCTCAAACAAAAGAGACCCTGGCATGAAGTTCAAGAAATGAATATTTTAGACTCATGTCACTGACACACGACTAGCTAAAGTATTTGGTTAAATATTCCCATTTCTCTGCACAACTGCATAGTGGAAAATGGGAGAAAAATGCTCATCTGCACATTTTTATCATCTGCAACATGTTTATAAGTATCTTTCTACCTATGTAAATTATCTTTCAATGTATGTATCTTACCTATCTATATTATTTATGTATTTATTATCTATATAAATATTTATCTATCCACAATTGAATTATCATTGAATTGGGGTTTTCTGTCGATACTGGCATAAGAACTTGGGACCTTTTACTTGAGCCATGCGTCCAAACCTAGAATGAGTTTTCTTAAAGATCAAAATATATTTCTCATTTTTGCTTTACTTTCTTTTTCAATGAGGTGCTGTACATTAGTTCAGATTAGTATGAGATTTCAATATCCCTACACCCTCCTCCCACCTAGCTGGGATCACAGCTGTGCACCACCATGTGTAGCTTGTTTTTGTATGTACAATCTTGCTAAATTTGGCAGGAGCTTGCTTCAATATATGATCCTATCTACAGCTCTCATGTATCCGGAATTACAGGTGTGTGCCATCCTGCCTGATCACTGTGTTGTTTTCAACCAAAAAGTCTATCATGCATTTATTGATGAATATAGTTCTTAATGGGCACTGGATTCTTGAATGATGTGAATTCTAAAATGTTTCTCACCCGAAGTCTTAATGTTTACCTACATACTTTTCTTTGTACATCTTTTCTCTTTGTCCTGTCCATGCCAATGTCTTCTATTTTGTGAATAATTGAATGGTGTAGATGCCTTTAAATGGAATTATAATTCCTCTTTGCCCATGACATCAGCAAAAATCAGAGACACTTTGTATTTTTTTCTATTTTCTATGATGCATTCCTAAAATTGAAGAAATTGAATACAGGAAAGCAAGAGTGGAGACAATATCAAATTGATAATGCCAATTTTGTGATTAAAGAGAAATTTTTTCTTCCTTCTCATTTTACTTTTTGGTGTTGGGGATTTAACCTATGGTTTCCCACATGATTGGCAGAATGTATCCTAAACTGCACTCCTAGCCATCTCTTTTGTAATATTATGCTTCATTTATATATGAGCTCAAGAGAATCAGTAGTCAAAAATTATTCCTTCTCTCCAATTATACTGAATGAAATTATACAGATAAAGAAAGTCTGGAACAGAAGGAGAAAGATGGTAAATTTTGCTAAAAGTACATTTGGTTAGAATGATATCAAAATCAACATTAATCAATAGTTTAGCTCTGGGACACTGATACACTAATGCATATTTTTTAAAAATATGGATCTTGCTATGTAGCTCAAGATGGCTTTGAACTTGTGATCCTCCTGCCTTAGTCTCCTTAGAACTCCAGAACTCCAGTCTGGGCCACAGTAAACAGTATTTAATCTTAATCATTACTTCCACATCATCAGAGAATTTTAAGGGAAATTCCAGAGGTCTCAGTCCCAATTGCATATGAAGTTTTCTTAAAAACTCTTTCCACTTCTCCTCTCTAGACACAAAATCAAGACCTGACTTTATGTGTCCATTTGAGACTCAGTGGACTAGTGATAAGATGAAAGGGAAAAGGTGCATTTGCAATTGTTTTCTAGAGAAGGAAAGAGATTTCTGTTGCATGGTTCTGTGCCAATGTTGTCTTCACATTTTGGTGATTTATACCTACCCATGATATATTGCATTCTACCAGAAAAAATAATGCTATGCCCTATGATCTACAAGGAACACCCCAAAAGAAAAAACAGAATGATGATGGAGTCTCCCTTTGGAGTTACAGAGATTGTTGGGTTTTCAAGGGAACAAGCAGTACATATTTTCCAAACAGATACTCTGTGCTCATAATCAGATAACACATTTCAAACACACCCTTACTCATTTTTCCTGATAGTCTAATTAATGTTACATAAATATATTATAATCTTTAATTCTCTCTAAAAATGTAATGTAGGCACTTATAGGTAGAGGAAGTAGTCTTCCTCTACTCCATCTCTACAAGTCCTCATCTACACAGGAAGTACATAAACTGCTTATAATGCCGAGCTCAGAGTCTGGCATTTAGGAAGCCCTCAATAACCCTTCACAATGTTATACTCACTGTCATCCTCTGCATGATTGGCATCACCTTCACAATCCCCTTGGAACACTGGGGAAACTTTTGTAGAGACACATTTTCTGCTAACATGAGCTATATATCTATTGGAATTAGAACAATGTACATGGTAGTCTAAGTAAGAATACGATTTCTGACATGCTCACTGCAACCAAGAATATGAAGTCACAGTCCTCATAACTGAAATTTTGCACATTAGTTCTCTCCTATATGGCTACCCACACTGTCATATTATTCCTAATAATGAGGAAATAATATTTCTTGTGGACTTTTCTCCATTAAATATCTCCCTCAGTACTTTCTGGTGTAGGTTCCTTCTATACTGTGCCATACTAAAATATTGTGATCCAAAGTAGATCTCTTATTAGGTATCAAATGAATGCTCAGATCTGTTTTCAGGACTGATATTAATAAATTAGAGGAGTTTTTTCATGCACTTAACCAGGCAAAAAGCTGAAACACACATAGAGCTCATTGGACCAAACCAACTAAATGCAAGGCTGTCATTACAGGCTGATTATTCACCACTGTAGGACCTTGGAGGATCGAGGTGCTAAATTGGTCCATATTATCCTGCCCTCTAAGGACTTTCTCACATTATTGGAGAAAGAAGCTGACATAATGACTGGCCCCTAAAGTTTATGGTGTCTTCCTCATTATGGCATTTTCTTTCCATTTTTATGTTTTCAAGTATAAATAACATGCGTGTTGTTGTTCAAAACCCACCACAATCCATTCTTGGAATTTTTACATACTTCTAAGCTTCAAATTGGAACACACTTTCAAAACTCCACATTCAGCCTCCCCTAACTCTGGCAACTGCCATACTATTAAGCAACATCACTAGAAGGCATTCAACAAAAATATTGTCAGCAAGGAGGCAAAATTTACATGAGTGAATGTTTCCTTTTGCTACTTTTCATAGTTACATTCCAAATGTCATGGGTTACTAAGATTAGAATATTCTGCTAGGAGTCTTTCTTAGGACACGATAAAGGCTCCTAATGCACAGACTGTAGATGAAAAAATACACCATAGCAGTGACCACTGAGTACATCATACAATTCACAGCACCCTCTTGAAGAAAGAGATCTTCAAAAAGTAGACTGTAATGTTTGTTCCTAAAAGGAATAAATGAAGTACAGTGTTGAGAAGGATTTACACTTGCAAATGAAGAATACATTTTCAAAATGGAGGAGAAATGTTAGTGTATGATTAAAATAAAAGATCCCTGAGGTAGGAATAAGACCAAATATGGCACCTAATTCATAAGTAAGATATTGAATTGTC